TATATATTAAATATATACAAAATATAAATAAATAAAAATATAAATATATAAATAAAAATATAAATATTTTTAACATTAATTGATAAGCACTTCCCTAAAAATCACAAGTTGCACAAAATTTTTAACAGAAACACATTAAAAGTAAGTTATAGCTGTATGCCTAATATGAAATCCGTTTTAAACGCCCACAATCGCCATGTTATAAACAACAAGAAAGAATCAGCTGAAAATAATTGCAATTGCATAGATAAAAACACCTGCCCTTTATCAAACCAATGCTTAACAAAATATAGTATATCAAGCTAATGTATGCTCAAACAATCTTGTTCAATCTCCCATCAATAAATTTTACATTGGCATAAGCGAAACACCTTTTAAAATTAGATATGCTAATCACATTAAATCTTTTAAAATTCCCAAATACAAAAATGACACTGAATTATCAAAGGAGGTTTGGAGATTAAAAGATGAAAACTTAAACCCGGTTGTTAGGTGGAAAATAATTAAACAGTGCGATGCCTATAACCCTGTAACAAAACGATGTAACTTATGCTTAAACGAAAAGTACGAAATTTTATTTTTCAAACACCCAAATTTGTTAAATAAAAAAAGTGAAATATTATCTAAGTGCCGGCATAAAAACAAATTTCTTCTTGCCCAATTTGACACTGGTGATTAGCAGTTTTACAACTATGCTTCTTTTTTATTCGTTTTTTTATTTGTTTTGTTTTGACGTCGGAACTCATTCTACTGCTTTTTTTGTATTTTGTATTTTTTTTTTTTTTTTTTTTAACGGTTTTTTCTTGATTTGTATAATATATATGGCTGAAGATTGCCGATAGGCATGAAACTTTTAGTTCCATTATAAAGTTGTATTTTTCTATTTAATTACACTTTATTTATATACACATATATATTGATCTATTTTGTAAAAATTATTTTTACATTATATTGATCACTCTCAAGTAAACAAGAGGATTTGTATCTCAACCAGATACAATAATAAACAACAATAAATTGCTCCGTACGTTGAGCACTCTACTCAAGTTGTCTGCGAAATGGAAAAAACGAACTTGAATTATTCTGTCAAGAACATTCCAATTCCACCAATTAAAGAATACAAAAAACAATTAATTAGCAAAACCGAAGCATTAATAAAAAGAATGAGGTGGAAAGCGTTTTACTTTATTAATGGCGATCGAAATAGTAAGTACAATACCTTTTATAATAATAATTATGGAATAAAAACACCAAATTACCCTAAACAAATTACTGAAATGTGTGCATTTGAAAGCGAATTAATAGAATTAATAAAAAACATAAAATTTCGTAAAGTTTATAGCAAATTCCAGAAAAAATTAAAAGAAGATATATCTAATATACGCAATTGTAATTTTACCTACACTTTTGCAGATAAAACATCTAATTTATATAACTTATCTAAACAAGACTACAATCATTTATTAACCAATGCCGTAACTTCAACTTACAAAAAATCGGATCCTAAATTAAAAAATGATATAAATAAAGAAGGTAAACGCATTTTACAGAATCATGAAATTTTTAATAAAATCGATATCAACACATCATCTAACTGCTTTATAACATTAAAAGACCACAAAGAAAATTTTGAAAACAATCCAACAGTTCGATTAATAAACCCTGCCAAAAATGAAATTGGCAGAATTAGTAAAGTTATTCTTTCAAGCATAAATTCTGAACTTGTAAAAAGACTCCATCTCAATCAGTGGAAAAAAACACAAGATGTAATATGCTGGTTCAAGTCGATCAGTGATCCAAACCTTTATAAGTTTCTCATTTTTGATATCGTTGATTTTTATCCCTCAATAAGTGAAAAACTACTTAAAAATGCTATTAGTTTTGCTGAGCAGAGTCTGGTTATAGATCCTGAGAAAAAATCGATTATTTACCACGCCAGAAAGTCACTGTTGTTTGATAGCAATCAAGTTTGGATTAAGAAGTCAAGCGGATTATTCGATGTTTCGATGGGAGCATTTGATGGCGCCGAAGTGTGTGAACTTGTGGGGATTTTTCTTTTATTTCAGATTACACAGTTTTACAATAAGAATGATTTCGGGTTATACCGTGATGACGGTTTGGCGATTTTTAAAAACATCAGTGGTCCCCATATGGAAAAAATTAAAAAACATGTTGTTAAAATATTTAAATCGAAGGATCTTCTGATATCAACACAGTGCAACATAAAAATCGTAAATTATCTGGACATTACATTAAACCTCAACAACCACACCTACCAACCTTACTCTAAACCCGGAAACTCTTTAAATTACATTCATGCTGAATCAAACCACCCATCCAGTATTTTAAAGCAACTCCCACATTCTATTGAATTAAGATTATCAGCAAATTCGTCAAGCGAGGAAATCTTTCAAAAATCCACTCCAATGTATAATGAAGCATTAAAAAAGTCCGGTTTTAATTACAATCTTTCTTACCAACCTAACTTAATATTATCTCACACTAAGAACCGTAAACGTAACATCATTTGGTTCAACCCGCCTTTTCGCAAAAACGTCAGCACGAATATAGGAAAAATATTTTTAACATTAATTGATAAGCACTTCCCTAAAAATCACAAGTTGCACAAAATTTTTAACAGAAACACATTAAAAGTAAGTTATAGCTGTATGCCTAATATGAAATCCGTTTTAAACGCCCACAATCGCCATGTTATAAACAACAAGAAAGAATCAGCTGAAAATAATTGCAATTGCATAGATAAAAACACCTGCCCTTTATCAAACCAATGCTTAACAAAATATAGTATATCAAGCTAATGTATGCTCAAACAATCTTGTTCAATCTCCCATCAATAAATTTTACATTGGCATAAGCGAAACACCTTTTAAAATTAGATATGCTAATCACATTAAATCTTTTAAAATTCCCAAATACAAAAATGACACTGAATTATCAAAGGAGGTTTGGAGATTAAAAGATGAAAACTTAAACCCGGTTGTTAGGTGGAAAATAATTAAACAGTGCGATGCCTATAACCCTGTAACAAAACGATGTAACTTATGCTTAAACGAAAAGTACGAAATTTTATTTTTCAAACACCCAAATTTGTTAAATAAAAAAAGCGAAATATTATCTAAGTGCCGGCATAAAAACAAATTTCTTCTTGCCCAATTTGACACTGGTGATTAGCAGTTTTACAACTATGCTTCTTTTTTATTTGTTTTTTTATTCGTTTTGTTTTGACGTCGGAACTCATTCTACTGCTTTTTTTGTATTTTGTATTTTTTTTTTTTTTTTTTTTTTAACGGTTTTTTCTTGATTTGTATAATATATATGGCTGAAGATTGCCGATAGGCATGAAACTTTTAGTTCCATTATAAAGTTGTATTTTTCTATTTAGTTACACTTTATTTATATACATATATATATATATATATATATATATATATATATATATATATATCAGCGCTCAAATCGTCTACTTTAGGAAAAAATTGACATTTTGATCGCCTAAAATTAAATCTGGCCAATCAAATTTGATCGGCAAAAGTTGCTAGTCAAACTTTTGTAATTATTAATACAAAAACATTTTAAATACAGAAAGTTAAAATTTAATTAAAATCAAAATTATTTTAAAATGAATTATATTCTAAATAAAATAATGTAGGTAAAAACGGCAAAACAAACAACTTATTTAAATTCTGAATAAAATAATTAAAAAAAACGACAAAGTTTTATTATAATTCTAAATAAAATGAAAACGGCAAAACAAACCATTTGCTTATTTTCTATAATAAAATAAAATAAAAACGGCACATCCAAAATTAATTTATATTTTAAATAATTAATATAAAAACGGTAAAACAAACATTATATTTATATTCTAAATAAAATATATATAAAAAAAAACGGCAAAGTTTTATTTTGATTCAAAATAAAATAATTAAAACAAAAACAGCAAAGCAAACGATTTATTTTGATTCAAAATAAAACAACTAAAATAAAAACAGTAAAAGATTATTTTTTTAAATTCTAAATAAAATTTAAACAAACATTTGCTTAAATTATGAATAAAATAACTAAAATAAATATGGCAAAACTAATGTTAATTTAAATTCCAAACAAAATAATTAAAATAAAAACGGTAATGTTTTATTTATATTCAAATTAAAACAATTTAAAAAAAATACGGCAAAACAGACATTGTCTGTTTTGGTATATACATATATTTTTGGGTATATTGTATATGTTGTCACAATATATATAAACTCTAAATAAAATAATTAAAATAAAAGCAGCAATCTTTTATGTATACTCAAAATAATACAAAAAGAAAAACAGCAAAACCAACGGTATACTTAAATTCTAAATAAAATTAATAAATTCAAAACGGCAAAATGAACGATTTACTTAAATTGTAAAGAGAATAAATAAAATTATAATTAAAAGTTATAAAATTATAAAGGCAAAACAAAAATCAAGCGAGGTAGGATCAACAAAATGTATTGTAAACTTTAGTAAAAATATAATAAAAAATTGATCGTCTAAAAATTTCTTTGATTGTCTGGTTTTTAATTTTTTTATTTTAGCCGATCAATGTTGATCAGCAACCTTCATATAATTATTTCAAGCGCTGATATATATAATTTATATATATATATATATCTTCTTTTTTTTTTTCTTTTTTTTACAGAGCATGACTGTTATATATATATATATATATATATATATATATATATATATATATATATATATATATATATATATATATATATATATATATATATATATAATATATATATATAACAGTCATGCTCTGTAAAAAAAAAAGAAAAAAAAAAAGAAGAAAGAAATTTATATATATATATATATATATATAAATATATATAAATTATATGTAATTAAACATTATTGTTTAATTAAATATTACATAATTATATAGGTAATTATGAAAATAATACGTCAATGAAACTATAAAAAATAATTGTAAAACTTACTTGGATTTCTTTATACATCCATTCATGAGCAGAGGATGATTTTAAAAGATTGATATATTGAAATACTGTAGTTATTATTTCAGTCACATGACCTGGATAAAAGTAAAAATTTCTGACTAAAAATTTGTTAGATGCTAAAATCTAAACCATACAACAAAAAAATTATTTAAACTTAATAATCTTTCATAAGTACATACGCAGGTATAGGGGAGGGGGATTACTCAAAAAAGTACAAATGTGTACAAGATAAAGGAGGGTAAGGGCGGGGGGGTCAAAACAGCAAACACATACATGGTTTCCTATCTTGTTTCCTATCTCTCCTGAAACTTGACTTTTATTTTTAAACAAAATCACAAGTTTAAAAAATCAATACCATGTTATGTAACAGATGGTTTTACATTCTTTATAGATACCCCCTCAATAAATATAAATTAATGTAATGGAGTGTAAAAGTTTGTGATTCAAGATAAATAACCACTTATTGAAAATACCACTTGTCTGAGTAGTCTGTAAATATAAACAGATTGAGTAAAAAAAAAAAAAAAAGAAAATTAAGAAATATTTTGAATGGAAAAAGCAGGAAAAAAGAGGTGAAAAATGAAACAACGATTGTAGTGGTGATTGTATTTATTATTACTTGTTTCTCTGCGTAGCAACCTTGTTTGTTAAAGTTTGTGTTTCAGAGGTAAAGAGTCGAGAGAAAAGGTTGTAACCACAATGAAAAAAAATTAGCCTCCAAAATTGTAGTGTAGTAACCCCTTTAGCTTTGGGGAGGTGGATAACATTAAAAAAAAAAAAGTTAATTTTCTTGGTAAAAAGTTTTAGCGTAAAAGCATAGTAAGGCATTTTATTTAATTATTTAAAAGAATTAATAAGATAACATTAATATATAAAAGTTAGAAAAGGGTTAAAAAAAAGTCTTTACTTTGATTTTTTTTTTAGTTAACACAACAGTTTGTGTTGATATCATATGGCATCACTTTCTACAAGGTTACCTTTTATACATGTCTCAGTATATTATACCCATACAAATAAAACTTTAGAAACAGAGACTTTTGAAAAATTATTTAATTCATAAAATTTTAATTATTTAAAAAAATTAATATTTCCTATGTTTTTATTTTTATTATGTTTTAATATCTATTTTTATTCTTTAGTTGTTTTTTTTTTCATTATGCTTTAATATCATCTTTTTTGAAAAATTAATTTTTAATAATGTTAAAATTACCTAAACCATCATTTGTTAACTTCATTTCAATAACAAAAAATTGATATCCCTTTGTATTTAAATTTAACATAGTACTCAAAGTTTGTACCCAACCTAATTAAATTAAAAATAAATAAATAAACAAACTCAATATTAAGTTAAAAATATTTGAAAAATCTAAACACATTCATTCCCACCATTTCGTTTTAACAGAGATAACAAACTTCCTTCCCCTTCATGACCAATTAAATGTGAAACATAGTATTCTGGCTAAAGATTAAAACACAATAAAATAAACACAAAAAAATAAAAACAAATAAATGAAAGTAGTATAAAAACAAACCTTTTTTTTATACCAAGCATGCAAATCAGGCATAGGAAATCGCAGCTGTAATGAATGATGATTTTTTATTGTTGCAACATTGAAGCTTAACTTAATTAAAAAAAAAGATATATAGAGATTAAAAAAAAACAATTTAATTAAAATAAAAAAGATATCAAAACTCTATATATGTTACATACAATCTAAAACATGCTTATAAACCTGTTTTGTGTGTTACTCAAAATATAAATCATGTTCAAGGCATATGCAACCACCATAAATAACCATTTTTTATATGAACATTTATATATATATATCTACTCAGGTTATCAGGTTCTCAGGTCAGGTTCTCAGGTTCTCAGGTCAGGTTATCAGGTTCTCAGGCCTTCTCAGGTTGCAAGCCTTATATTCTTCTTATTCTGTACTCTGTACTTATCCGTATACTCTTTATACTTACTTACTTACTTCTTACTTCTGTACTTATCCTTATACTCTTTATACTCTTATATATATCTATTTTATACTCTTCTTCTTATTCTGTAACCTCAGGGGTCTCCCAAGATTCAGTCCTTGGCCCTATACTCTTTTTAATTTACATTAACGATCTTCCAGATATTCTCACATCTAAGGTGGCATTGTTTGCTGATGATACTACCATTTATTCTTGTCACGATAAGAAGCCAACTCCCTCTGATTGCTTGCAGGGGGCATCTGAGCTTGAAAAGGATCTCACTTCTGCTACAGCATGGGGCTCACAGTGGCTGGTGAACTTTAATTCAGATAAAACTCAATTTTTTTCAGCCAATCGTTATCGCAATAATTTAGACCTTCCTATATTTATGAACGGTAATGTACTCGATGAGTCTCCTACCCTTCATCTTCTAGGATTAACTCATACTTCTGATCTTTCTTGGAAACCTTATATCAAATCCATTGCAAAATTAGCATCTGCTAAGTTGCTTCTCTTTATCGAGCTCATCACTTTCTTACTCTGAATTCTATTCTCTATCTCTATAAATCTCAAATCCGGCCTTGTATGGAATACTGTTGCCATATCTGGGGCGGATCTTCTAATGATGCCCTTTCTCTTTTAGACAAAGTGCAAAAACGCATTGTAAACATAGTTGGACCTGCTCTTGCAGCCAACCTTCAACCTCTGTCACATCGTCATAATGTTGCTTCTCTTTCTCTTTTCTACAAATCAGGAAAGCAAGGTGAAAAAAGCGAATTCCAAAGAACTGATGTTCGAGGAAAAAAACTAGACGAATAAGAGTTTTTGGAGCACTTAGGAACAGTAACAGAAAAAGGATGAGACTTAATTGAATGACGAGTAACACGAGAATGAATTTTAGTAGATGGAAAAAGAGACGCTAGCTCTTTCAAGCAGTGCCCATTATAGTGGGCACACTATAACGGGCACCGCTTGAAATACTATAATGGGCACATCAGTAAAGGATATTTTTGAGGACCCTCTGAGGACCCTTTTTTTCCTTACACTTGTGTCACTTCAAGGTGGGCGTTAACTAAAAACTATCAAAAAATTTTTTTACGTATTTTTAAGGAAAAATTTCTGTACTTTCCAAAAATATATACTTTTATATACTTTTTTTTCAATAAATTTGCCCCTAGTCAAATTATTTAACTTAGCAATGCCCTTAGCAACCATAATTTCAACATTGTCTTAGAACATTATGGTCTAAACTAAAAGTCTAAAAATGTTTTGCATCAAACTACAAATAAGTAGAACATGTGAGGAGTGCTGCTACAGCATTAACAACAACTGACAAGTAGATAGAAAATGCGAAGAGTGCTGCTCTTTTTGGTCAGCATCAACCTGGTGCTGACCTTAAACTGTTAAAGTCGGCATCAGATTCCCAAAAAAATAAGACACAAAAGGAAACAAAGGTTGACAACATAGAAACAAAGGTTGGCAATATTTGGCCGACCTCAAATAGATCGGCAGTTAGATTGGCATCGCAGAATCAATATATATATATATATATATATATATATATATATATATATATATATATATATATATATATATATATATATATATATATATATATATTTATATATATATATATATATATATATATATATATATATATATATATATATATATATATATATATATATATATATATATATATATATATATATATATATATATATATACATATATATATATATACATATGAAACTTACCGAAAGTTGATCCTGACTATATGGATGCTCAGAGCTAAAACTCATAACAGTATTTTTGTTTGCAATATCTTTAAACTTAGAGACAACCATTTTTTCTAGATCAATTAAACTTTCTGAAAAGATAAAAAATATTTTTTTAAATCATAAACTCAGTTAAAATATTTAATTAAAATTATTTGTATAAAATACACAAAAAACAATCACAAAAACTAAATTTTTTTTTTCACTGCTAATATCTAAAAGATAATATATATAACAAGATGTAAATTAGGGTGTTCCAGAAAAAATAAACTTTTGAAATATATGGCTTCAACCACCAGGAAATTTTTTAGCTTGATAGGAAATATTTTATATATTTTGATAGGAAATATATTTAACAAAAAAATGATTGAAAAGTAAAAATACTGATTTTTAATAATAAGATTATATAAAAATTAAAACTAAAAAACTAGATCTATTACAAGTTGAAATTTAATTCTTTATCCAATGTTCACCCATTCTTGGCTTCAACCTTCGCAATTAGGAAAAATGAAGTCAGTATTTTTTTGCCGACCTCAAACACTTCTAGGTTGGCAGTTAGATCAACATTGCCAAATGCCAACCCTAATTCCGAGAATTGTGGCTTGTAAGCTTGCTGAAAGCCTTGCAGTGTTGCTCAATAACTTGTAACAAATACTGCTTTTTTAAACCATATGTGAACATTTTTTTATAACAGATTTTCATCCTTAGTTTTGCTATAGAATTTTTCAATGAAGGTTTCACCCCGTTCAACACAATCATTAATGCATGGTTGTTTGGTAATGATAGACAGTGCTTATTTATATGACGACATTCTGGTCCAAACTTCTCCAAATGTGCTAAAATAACTTCCATCGCATCTAGTTGTTTTGAAGAACACTTCAGATGTTCAAAGCTCTTCAACACTGGATGGCAAGTCTTTTAAGAGGTGTGGTTCATATTCAGATACCATGTTATCAACCATTTATTTTTTTGTTGTTGATAGAAGTGATGAAAAATAAAAAAGGTTTTCAGACTGAGACATCAGGAATCCCGAGCCAAAATTTTCAAACCAATTAAACATAAAGCTGTGTCACCATAGTTATTGAGTCTGTTACTTTGGATGCATGAAAAACATGCTTGAATGTAGACTTTGACTATAAATATGTTGAAACGCTGAACAACCTTTTGTTGATATGTTGAAAAACTTTTCTGGTTGTTTTTTTTAATACTAATTCAATCCCAACAAGACTCTAAGTAATGTCAATTAAGTCAGGAGTTACTAGAAACTCCCAGTTTAATAGTGAAAATAGAGCAAAGAAACAGTTGATAGAAGACTTGAAAAGTTAAAGATTGTATAAGTCAAGAAAATATAAAGATGGGAGAATGTTTCAAAGCATAAAGTGCAGAGGAAAAAACTAGACAAATAAAAATTTTAAGAGTAAAAGGATGCAACTATGCTGAATGACAAGTCAAGTGAGAATGAGTGAGTTTTGGTTGATGGAACAAGAGATATGTGTATTTTTTGATTCTAACACTTGTTTTTCAGAGAAGAGAGAGATGATTACAACATTAGTTAATGTGAAAATCAATTTACAAAACTAAAATTACTGAAATATTTCAAAATTTTATTTCCAGATCAACCTCTTTTAAAAACATCTTCATTATTTTAATAATCCCTGGATCTGCTTATACATTAAGTTTAAGTAAAGTTTTTTTGGTTTTTAACTCTAAAAATGTATTGAAAAAAAAAAAATTATAGTAAATATACAAATATCAAAAATACAGGTTTTTATAAAAATATATTATTTTATATATATATATATATATATATATATATATATATATATATATATATATATATATATATATATATATATATATATATATATATATATATATATATATATATATATATATATATATATATATATATATTTATAAAAATATTATATATATATATATATATATATATATATACACACATATATGTGTACATATATATGTATGTATATACCTATATACTTATAGTTTATATAGATATATTCTGTAATGTATATAGATATACATATGCCGACTTTATTTAACTTACAGCTTTTTCAGAATAAAAAAACAAAAAACAAAAACTAATTAAAAAAAGGATTGCTACCCCAAACAAAGTCCTTAGTTAATACACTTCCTTACATGTTCTACCTACTCAATTTATGAACTATTAATATAAAAAAAATACTTTATGTTTTGATTTAGTTAACTCCAATCTTGAACAAAACATAGTTAAAGACAAATTTATTATAAATAAACTTTAGAATCTAAAAAAATTACCTTTACCAAGAACAACAAGAGTCATTATATTTGCAGAATAATGGGACTCATAAAACTTTAATAGACAATCTCTTATGTCAATATTTTTTTCTGAAGGGATTGTTTTTAGTGTAGTGATGTTGCCTACATAAGTAAAAATAATAAGTTAAAAATACATAAGTAAAAATAATAAGTTAAAGAAAATTAACTTTAAAAGGAAATTTAAATTTAATTTAAAATATTTTATAAAATTTAAAATTAACTTTAAATTTCCTTTTTAAGTTAATTTTTCTTATTTACAATAATTAACTTTAAATTTTCTTATTTACAATATATAAAATTAACTTTAAATTTCCTTTTAAAGTAGGTAATTTCTCCCACCTTATTTACAATCTATATCAATTACTTACCTGAGATTCTCGAAGACTCTAAGCTATTTGCAGGTGACAGCACATTAATCAGGAAAGAAATTAACTCTGACAATCATTAGCTAATGAATGAATCATTAATTGCTTTAAAATAAAATTAGCTAAACCTCAGAATGGTTCGAGCTCTACCAATTAAAATTTTATATTGAGAAATTCTTATCATGCATTTTGAAAAAAAAAAATCATCACTATATTTATAAACTAGTTGACATCATAATATGCAAACAAAAATTTTAATGGCATAACATAGCTTCTGATATCAAAAAAAATCTTAGAATTACCATGCCATTAAAAATCAAATGGAAAAGTCACAAAATATTGTACATCAAAAAATTACTCAATTCTTGGAATGAACATTCTATACATTTAAGATGACATGTGTAACATTTATAACACCCATCTTGAATTAGCGATAAAAGCATTGTGCCTATACCTTAAGAATAATAATGATGCACGTGTCATAACATTTCAATGTTGCACTTGAAAAAGTTCAATGTTGCATTTGAAAAAGTTCAATGATGCACTTGAAAAAGTTCAATGTTATGACACTAAATAGGTACCCCAAATTTATAAACTAAGTTACACAACATTAAAAAACTTAGTTTAACCACACTGGAAGAAAAAAAATTAAAAGAGGTGACTTGAATTATAACTAAGAACAATTCGTATCAATAAATGTGACTTGATTCTACATAATTTAAAGTTCTATGGTCAGTAATTTTTATTTCTGAGAAAAAAAAATTTTTATACTTTATTTCCTAGAAAAACATAACAATGTAAATCTGTCAGAGTGAATGTTTTGTAGTTTTCAAACTACAAAACTATTACAGCTTTCCATTAAGTAACTTAAAAACTATAACAAACACTAAAATTAAAAAAAAACTTTTAGATTTTTCTCTAAACTTGTCGCCAGTTAATCAAAAACACTAATAGCATAATTTGATAAGAAAAGCTTACCCGAACCAAACTTAGTGTAAACATGTCCCGGTTTTGAAGTTTCTTTATCAACACTTGAGATTCTTCGAGTATCATTAAAAATGTTTTTTTGAAATTCTAAAACATAAAAATCCAACTTTTACATAAAAGAAATCAGTAGAAATGAAATGAAAGAAATCAGTAGAAATGAATGGAAAGAAATCAGTAGAAATGAATGGAAAGAAATCAGTAGAAATGAATGGAAAGAAATCAGTAGAAATGAATGGAAAGAAATAAGTAGAAATGAATGGAAAGAAATTAGTAAAAATGAATGGGTTGATATTTGGTTGATATGGAGGTACCATGTTGTTTTAATTTTGAATCCATGAATGTTCAAAGTTAAAAATGTTTACAGTGGCAAACTGGAAATATATTTTAAAAATAATAAACCGATTATATTCATACATCTTTTTGAAAATATATAAGCGTAGATCATATAACACAAAAACATATAACACAAAGATATAACATAAAATGTACACACATGTAACATGTAATTACACAACTCTCATGAAATCTTTTAAAATAATTTAATAATTATTGATAATAAATATAAAATAACTAATGTTGTTTGTGAACTGTTATTTATGATAAAAGATTACTACATCTGTCCAACAACATCTGTAGAGTAGTCCAAGATCATCCAGGCCTTCTCGTAAGAGGTGTGCGATGACACACCTTATATGACCACGCATAGTTCTTTGTTTTAACAACTTGACCACGGCTAATTGCAAATTTTGATAATTTACATTTGTTTTGTTTTCTTTTAGCGCATTTTTTAAACGCGCTAATTATCGAAACTTGCAAAGAGCCGTGGTCAAGTTGTTAAAACAAAGAACTATATGCGTGGTCATTTTTACTCCAACAATATCTGTCCAATATCATCTGGAAATTCAATGACCCCTAACAACATCTTAGGAAGATGTAACTACATCTGGTAATTTTTCTCCAAGTCCAATAACATCTGGAAGAATTTCCTCTAGATGTTATGACATCTGAAAAAAACCATATATGTAACTATCTAGTTAAAATAATGCATTATAATTTAATAATTTCATAAAACACTGTACTTTAATTTAATTTAATATAACTGAAAAGATGTAACTACATCTATAGAGTTCACAGATGCAGTTGTGCAAATGTAGTTATTCTTAGCATAATTGAAAAGATGTAACTACATCTGTAAAATCTCCAGATACAGTTCCACAGATGTTGTTAAGACTTAGTTAATTGAAAAAATGTAGCTACATCTGTACTAATCATATAATTTTTACAAATATGTTATTAGACATTAATGAAATTTCAGATGTTGTACGACAGATGTTGTTGTACCTCAGTGTATTTACAGATGTTGTTGGACAGATATTATTAAACATAGCAAAAACTGATGTTGTTACCCTGACCCTTATTTATGTATATACTTTTCACAAATTTGTAGGAGTTGAACTTTTCTAAAGCCCACATTTCAATAAGTTATTTTAGCAGAGTGAAAATCAGTTTTATTATTCTTTAGAACCTGGGGAAAAAATGAGTGAAAAAGTATCTACTGAGTACAACTATTACAGATAACAAGATATCCAATTCTTTTCAATTCTAGTTTAACTATTAAAGTGCTAAATAAGTGGTTCCAATTTTTAAAAAATCTAGAAAACACACCTCAGCATTCAAGTCATTCTCGAAGGCCTCTACTCCTCTTCACCTTCAGTAACTATATGGGTATTGCAAGGTTCTATCATAACACCAGTATTGTTTCTTTTTTACAATAATGATCTCTCTGATAATTTTACATCTTTAGTGGTTTATCTAATGAGATAAAATCACAAAAGAACTTGATCAGACCTTTTGTATTTTAAATAATCCAATGTTACATTATGATGTTGCATAATAAAATTTTGAATACATTTAAAACTCTTAACTAACATAATAAATTAAGGATAATTAAAAATAATATAATTTTTTTTTTTTTGAAAATCTAGAATTAACTTTGTATTTGATCAAATGAATATGACCCCAAAACTGCCAACAAGGAGTAAAAGCTTTCATACCTGCTTGGATCAAGGAGATTAGATAAGAGATACATTAATGCATATATAATATGGATATGCACCTTTATGACAACATGTTTATAATCAACATGATCATGTTGATTATAAACACGTTTATATATAAATAAATATGAATATATATATACAAAATATAACATAAGTTTTAAATAAAAAAATACTTTAGGATGTATATCTATGCAGCCCTGGTTGCAAAACTGACCCTGGCTATACTTTATCAAACCTGGCCCCAGTCAAATTTTAACCCGAGTCACTTATTAGCTAGCCCACAACTGGATTTGAATAAAGAACTTGAAATGGTCCATGGGTAACCCTTTGAGTATTGAAAAAAAACTTGATTATGTTATTAAAGAACTATCACCGATGCAACCAGTTATTTATATATATATATATATATATATATATATATATATATATATATATATATATATATATATATATATATTAGTTATTTTTTTATCTTTGTTATTTCTTTTACAAATTTTTCAAAAATATTTTGAAGTTTGACATTTTGGTATTTACCCCCTCTATATCCGCCACTGCATATATATATATATATATATATATATATATATATATATATATATATATATATATATATATATATATATATATATATATACTATAGCATATTTATATGCGCAATTGCTCACTTTTTTTGCTAGCCTAAATTAAGTGAGCGTTTTTAGAAAACGATGAGTTTTCTAAAAATGCGCACTCCACTGCGAGTCAGGCTATTTGTCAGTCGATGTATGTACTGAAGCCCCCGGCAGCAGGCTATTTGATGTTAGGTGAGTATGACATCATCATGCTCACCTAACGCAGTATAAGATATATCTATATATATATATATATATATATATATATATATATATATATATATATATATATATATATATATATCTTTAGTGTTGACATCGTGTATAAGAGTATATGTTATATTAGTCAGAAAACAATTAATACAAGTTCTCTTAATACAATTAATAACTTATTATTAGAAGTTTTTGCTGGATTATGGTTACCAGCATCATCAGCTCGTAAAAATTATACTATAATTTTTTTTTTCTAACTGTATTCAACAACAGGTATTTCTGAAAGAGAATTGGTTGTTGTTAAATGAGGACAAGATAATGAATGTTTTTTGTCTTGATCAACCACATTTGGAAATGCATCGCTGAGTTTGCAAAAATAAATTATAAGTATAAATTTATAATTTTTACGAGCTGATGATGCTGGTAACCATAATCCAGCGAAAACTTCTAATAATAAATTATTACTTGTACTTAGAGAACTCGTATTAATTGATGTTTTCTGACTAATATATGTGTATATATATATATATATATATATATATATATATATATATATATATATATATATATATATATATATGGCTAGCATAATAAAGAGATGCAACCATAGCAGATGCTAATTTTGCAATGTATTTGATATATGGTTTCCAAAAAAGATTTGAAGTAAGAGTTAATCCTAAAAGATAAACGTGATCCTAAAAGATAAAGATGAATCATTGAGTACATTACGGTTCATAAATATAGGAAGATATAGATTATTGCAGTAACAATAATAATAAGAGTTTTATCTAAGTTAAAGTTCACCAGCCACTAAGAGCCCTATGCTATAGCAGAAGTGAGATTCTTATTCAAGCTCAAATTCCTCCTTGAGTGTTGGCTACATATCAAGACAAGAATAAATGATAGTATTATCCGCAAACAATGTCACCATAGATGTGAAAATTTCTAGGAGATAAACAGATAACAAGCATGTAACCATCGACACTAAGATCACAAGATGAGACAGCTGAACTCAAATTAGTCACACAAAGAGCAACTAGTTCTAGTGAACTTTGCAAGAGATAAGACTCAACAGAAGAAAAGTTACTTCGAAGGCCACACATATTAGTGAATGATAGATTTAGAGAACTTGGTGATAACGATGATAGATATGAGAGATTATTATTAAACACAAAAAGAAATGACACTATTTGAAAATGGTAATACATATGGCGATTATTTAGAAAGAGCTTATTCATTTCTAATGTTAATGAAATTGATGTGCCAAGGTTGTTTGGGTAATTCTTTGGATATGCTGTGCTTATAAAGTCATATTTCAAAGCACATAAAATAATTTCCTTATTTCCAACATAATTTTTTTTATGTGTAACTTTTTTATGTTTTACTCCCAACAATGTAAACTGCATTTGATAAATATGTTTTTGTTAAAAATATTTTTTTAAAATTGAAATATTATATAGATATCTTGTTATAACCCTGGGAGTGATAATCTTTGATTCCTGGTATTGAAAAATATCCCAGAATTGTAATTCCTAATCACAAAATAATATAAAAAAACATACCAGAATGGATAGCATTTAACTCTCTTTCAGTAGAACTCTCAGTAAAAAGTGGACAGATAAAAAATTGTGCAAACCTAAAAATAATATATATATATATATATATATATATATATATATATATATATATATATATATATAAATATTAGAGATGTGCCGGCTACTCTGCAATATCTTCTGTTATGCTAGGCACCTCATAACTTTTGGAGTTGCTAGCTAATTTTGAATACCCCTGAAGAAGCTTGATATACTTTTTAAATGCTTTGGAATCCTGAAAGATAATCGATACCCTGTAATTTATGTATGTTTGCAGAATACCTGGTAATTTGAAATTACCTGGTACAATGCAGGGTTTTCCAGGTGTCGACTCTTTTTGTGTTTCAGGTTGCTAGGCAACTTCAAAAATTAAAAAGCACCTTCAAAATTACCAGGCACCTCCAATAATTGTAAGGTAAACAAGCACACCTTAAAAAATTGCTGGAACATCTCTAATATATATATATATATATATATATATATATATATATATATATATATATATATATATATATATACAAACACACATATATATCAACCCTCGGAATTAGGAAAAATGAGGTCGGCAATAATTTGTCGATCTCAATCTTATAGAGGTCAGCATTAAGTCAGCAAAAAAAATTGATACAAAGGTTCTTACCATAAAACATAGAAACCAGCAGTTAGGTTGGCATTGTCGAATGCCGACCCTAATTCCGAGTGTTGTATATACATATACATATATATATATATATATATATATATATATATATATATATATATATATATATATATATATATATATATATATATATATATATATATATATATATATATATATGTATATATATATATATATATATATATATAAAAAGCCACACTAACATTTTTTCTTGATTTTAAGTATATAATGTATAATGAAGCAAAAGTAAAATAATTGGATGTGGTAGTGAAATTTCATGGACAAAAAAGGTATGTTTATATATACACTTATATTTATATAAATAAAATCTTTAAAAAACAGATTAATACAAACACGTTTAATATTTTAGAAAACAACTAATAGATATTGAAATATGACAAAATATTGAAGCTGCTGACCAAGGAGAGTCTCACAGAAACATTGGAAAACATTTTAAACAACAAAACTCAACTATTAGTAGATTGGTGAAGAAATATTAACATATATGTACAGCTGAAAATAGTTACAAAAAGTTGAAGAAGACTAATATTGTTTAATGTTTAATATGATTCAACGCTTAATTTTAACCATCAATAATATTTTATCTAATTATTTCTATATTTTTAAGTTTTTTTAATAGACTGCCAGTTGTCCCCAATTTCATGCTAAATGTTAATGCGTGAATTATTTGAATATAACTTATTATTATTACAAAATAAAAAAAAACTTAAATTACATCTTAAAGTCTGTTGGATCTGGGAGAAAGCCTAAAAATTTAAAAAAAAAAAGATTGCTTTATTCTTAATGCCTTTAGAAAAGATGTTAAAATTAAAAGTTCTGAGATAAAACTAGATTTACTAGAATCTACTAGAACTAGAACCTTACTAATATCTCAAAATGGACAATATCTCATCAAATAAAAGAATTAAGTGAGTTTTTAGTTAGAAAATAAAAAATCCCTTTGTGAGTGAAATCAAAAAAAGAATAAAGTGGTACATTGAGCACAAAGGTTGGACATGTGAGCAATGAGCTAAAGTATTTGGAGCGATGAGTCTCCTTTTGTGTTGTTTTATTATGGTCAATCTCACTGCTGGAAATTAATTGGGGAAAAGTCTGACTCCCAAACATGCAAGGCAACAATTAAACATGAAAAAAAAATTAAACATGAAAAAGATTAATGTTTGGGGTTGTTTTAGTGCAACAAAGTTAGATAGTTTTGCAGGGCGGAGGGACCAACATTTGTATCACAAAGTCGTTGGAGGGACCAACATTTGTATCAAAGTCTAATCAACTTGGACCAAGTATAGAAGAACTTTTCCCTAATAAAGACTACATCTTTCAACAAGACTTTTTTAATTCACCTCCCCAAGCCACTACAGATGAGGAGGCTACTTAATTGTGATTATAACCCTCTCTTAACTCTATAACTCCAAAACACAAACATTAACAAACAAGACCGCTGAGCAGAGAAACAAGTTGAGTGCAATACTACCAGGAACATGATAGGGGTTGAACTCAGAACCTCTCACTTATGAAGTGAGCACTCTACCACTATTCCACTATGGCATTAATTAGATAACGATCCCAAACATATGGCATGCTTGAACAAAAGATATCTGGAATCAAAATTGATACCAGTTATGGCCAAAATTTATACCTGTCTTGGCCAGCACAGCCTCTTGATTTAAATCCAATAGAGATCTTTGGTCTATATTGGATGGAAAATTGCAAGAACGTAGGGCAACAAATAAAGATGAACTGTTCCAAACTGTTCTTGCGGGTTGGAATGCTTTTCAAATTTAGTTTTAATATATATAAAATTTAATTTTAATATAATATAATAATTAATTATAATATAATAAAAAGAAACATACTATAATATAATATAAAGAAACAAAAGATGGCTAATTAAGTACTAGTACTACCTGAAAAATACTTTACAAATCCTAATCACAGTAATATTGTACTCAACTTGTTTTTCTGAGCAGCAACTTTCTTTGTCAAGGTTTGTGTTTTGGAGTTATCTTTTTTATCCAAAAGTTGAGTGTAGGTTTTTTTTTGTACCCCCTGTATATGTATATATATATATATATATATATATATATATATATATATATATATATATATATATTATATATATATATATATATATATATATATATATATATATATATATATATATATATATATATATATATATATATATATATATATATATATATATATATATTATATATATATATATATATATATTATATATATATATATATATATATATATATATTTTTTTTTTTTTTAACATCTTTACTTCCAACAAGGCTGCAAGCAACCACTATAAGAGTTGGAAGTTACTGGAAGAGAGAAGACTAAATCTGTAGAGCAAGATAACGATTGACTGATGACTTAAAAGATTGCAAATTATATGAATCAGGAAAGCAAGATGAAGATTCCAAAGAACTGATGTTCGAGGAAAAAAACTAGAAGAATAAGAGTTTTTGAAGCACTTAGGAACAGTCACAGAAAAAGGATGAGACTTAATTGAATGGCGAGTAACACGAGAATGAATTTTAGTAGATGGCACAAGGGACGCTAGCTCTTTAGAGCAGTGCCCATTATAGTATTTGTAGAAAAGAGAAAGAGAAGCAACATTACGACAATGTGACAAAGGTTGGAGATTGGCTGCCAGAGCAGGTCCAATTATGTTTACAATTCGTTTTTGCACCTTGTCTAAAAGAGAAAGAGCATCATTAGAAGATCCGCCCCAGATGTGGCAACAGTATTCCATACAGGGACAGATTTGAGATTTATAGAGATAGAGAATAGAATCTGGAGTAAGAAAGTGTCGAGCTCGATAAAGAGATGCAACCTTAGCAGATACTAATTTTGCAATGGATTTGATATACGGTTTAAAAGAAAGATCAGAAGTAAGAGTTAATCCTAGAAGATGAATGGTAGATGACTCATCTAGTACATTACCATTCATAAATATAGGAAGATCTAAATTATTACGATAACGATTGGCCGAATAAAATTGAGTTTTATCTGAATTAAAGTTCACCAGCCACTGTGAGCCCCATGCTGTAGCAGAAGTGAGATCCTTTTCAAGCTCAGATACCCCCTCCAAGCAATCAGAGAGTGTAGGCTTCTTATCATGACAAGAGTAAATGGTAGTGTCGTCAGCGAATAATGCCACCTTAAATGTGAGAATATCTGGAAGATCGTTAATGTAAATTAAAAAGAGTATAGGGCCAAGGATTGAACCTTGAGGAACCCCTGAAGTTACAGGATGTGAAGAAGAGTGTTGTCCATCGAGGACAACTTTTATACTACGATTGGAAAGAAAGGACTCAATAATCTTAAAGACGTTACCAGCTACACCATAAGAAGAAAGCTTATGGAGAAGACCAGCATGCCAAACTTTATCAAAAGCTTTAGAAATGTCAAGTGCGATAGCCTTAACCTCTCCACCTCTATCTAATGCACGGTAAAACCTATCGGTTATTACTGTTAGCACATCAGCTGTAGAACGAGAAGACCGAAATCCATATTGATGATCAGAAAGTAAGTTATTTGATTCAAGATGAGAGATTAAGTGTTTGTTGATTAAAGATTCATAATTACAATGAAAAAATAACAACAATAACTAACATTAATATAATAATAAGTTAATGATTTATTAGGATGGTGTCACTCATACAGAAATCTGATCAAAGAAGTGACACCAATTTTTAATATAATATAAGTAATAATAAACTAAGACACACACTGAAATATATGGACCATAAACACACAAACCAAAGCACATAAAATATACATCAAAACAAACATGTAGAAATAAATTTGCAGGTTTTACTAATAAAAAAAATAAAAAAAAAGTGCTGATGATAATTGTAGTAATTACGAAAATAAAAATAAAATAATATTTAAATCATAAGGATAATAATGCCAAAAGTTAGAATAAAAAGTTTTTCAGAATTTTTTTAAATTGATATTGTTTAAGATGGAGTAAAGGTATTTTAGGATATACTTTTTTGGACTCATTCAAAATGCATGCAAGGCTCCTGTTCCATTCACAGATGCACTGATAAACAATAGAACGTTTACAATACTTCTGGGTTTTAAAAGATGGTACATTTAGTTTTCTATTGTGCATATTTTTAGTCAAGTAGGAATGTAATAGTCTACTTTCTGTGAACAAGTTTGTGATAGGAGATGGTATATTTTTATTTAAGGAGTCAAAAACAAAAAGAAGATTACCATACTTTAGTAGCGCTGGAAATGTTGGAATGAAAAGTTTTTTAAAGGACTTTGATGTATCTGATTTAATTGGTTGGAAGTTTATTAATCTGATGGATTGACGCTGAGACGATAGATGAGATG